AGGCTCTATTAAGTTACAACACTAGCATAAAAAAAGAAGATATGCTGTAACAGCATGTGAATTTTTTCCGCCTTCGCCAACCTAATCTCAAGGCTGCGGCACACGGAGGAGCGAGAAGTTCCATGTTCACGTGGGCTTTGAGCATAGGGATTGTCTCTGATCCAGAGATGAGCAAGAAATACCTAGGCCTGAAGACAATTAAATAATTAGTCCAATTAAGCGTTTAGATAACACGCCTGTAATTAAATCATTTGCACACCAAGGGATGGTGACAGTTCACAGAAACTAATTTTCGTCTGTGGTGGGTTCATCTCCCATCCAAACAAAAAGATTTATTTGCAGTTCAACATACGCAGATTATGGCAGAAAATGTACCACATGCAGATCTCTGATGAAGGCCCTGCAGAATGTGTCATTTACAAAATTGTACAAAAACAAGTGGATTTGAAACAGGTTAAAAAATATATTGTTTAAATAAGAGGCAAAATCTAAAATATATACGTTTGGCTGAAATTTTCAGTTGCTAACAAGAAAATTGGTACATTTCAGTATAAGGCGCACTTTGTTATTTTCATGTGTGTTGTGACAACAATAGATGAGTACTAAGGTACAATAAAATGAGTATTTGTTTGGTCATGAAAAGACCAACTTCATGTAAAAATAAAAAGCTTTTATTAGGTGACAGCTATGAAGATATGATGGGAGCCCTGACCTCATGTGAGAAAACATGATTGTTTTAATAATATTTTCAATGGTTTAATCAATACTTTTTTTCCAGCATTTTTTTTCAGTATGTTAATCATATTTTTACAAAAATCAACTCATTACTGTAAAACGTTAATAAGGAAAAACTTAAAGTGCACCTTTTTTATTTTTAAACCTATTCCACAGAATTTCAGATTTGCCCTTGCCGTAAATATGAAAAAGTTTGCAGAATCCTTGTGGGTCTAATTATCACATCCACCTTATTTTTAACATAAGAACAGGTTCAGCCATTTGTAACTTGAACGTGCAAGGCTTCCGGTGTCATTCGTTTCCAGTTATTTTTAGCTGTACAAAAGAGCTCGTTATGCTGCTTGGTATTGTGAACTTGATATTATTTTAATGTATTGTCATAATTATAAACACACTGATTTGTAGCACAAATAGTTTAATACAATTATGTTATTTCTCTAGTTATTTACCTATAGGAGCTAATGAAGTCTCACACGTTCACAGAAAATAACTAGCTTACTTCTGCACTGCAAAATTAGACGGATTATTACATTACATAGTAGTTAAGAGACCTATATGCCTGAGTGCTCTGATTTCCTGCATAATTTGTTATGATTTTGAATCATTTGCAATGACTGTGCAGGATGCTATATATCCTCTATTCCAGAGTGGCCTAATTACGGAAAAAAAATCTCCCAATATGCACCTAAAAATACTGTCAACATCTTTCCAGAGAAGAACTCTCCATGCTTGAAATTGGCTGGTGTCAGTGATGTCAGCTTTGAGGAGAAGGCCGTTTAATGTGCAGTCTTTGCGGGCACAGGAGAAGGCTGCATCTCTGTAACAGGCATATTGGCAGTGTCCTCCTGTCTGGCACAGCCAATCAGCATGCTGACTCAAGGGAGGATAAAACTCAGTGTGGCTTTAGCTGAGAGGCACTAGAGCGAGCCAGGAAAAGCCCGGCTGAAGTATGCGTGCACATACACGTCCTCTCATTCTCACTTTCCCCTCCTAGTCGCTTCTTTTTCGGCGTCAATAACACACTTTCTGACTCTCTCTGTCTCTCAATCAGAAATACACGCAGAATGTTTCTATACACGACATAATGACGTCTATCGATGGCGCTGATTGCCTATGGGTCTGATAACCTGTAACTTATATCGGGGCAGATTTAAAAAAAAAAAACAGCGGGGGCCAGAGGAAAAAGTTGACCCGAATAATGGCAATACATAAATATATATTTAAAAATCATCAGCAAGGCCCATGAACTGTCCTCTACCTCTATATCCACCCACAACCCCGAAGCAATAACACAAAACGACATCAGCAAAAGTGACAAGTGACAGATTTGAGACCATATACCAATATACCATTTTAAATCTGGTCACCCGGCGTGATACATTGATAAGCAATAAATCTCTTCCTTGCTACTCTTTCGTTTCTCTCCTAACCAGCCACGACAAGCAGGCAAAACATTTTCTCAAACACTTGATTTCTATTTCTTTCATGAAACTTTTGATATGCATAACATACACACAGCTGTAAAGCTGTGCTTTTAAACAGCAGCTCAATAAACAAGTTAATATTGAGTAACTTACATCCACTGCCAACAAATAATCCAAACAATGCCACAGACTCTCCAAGCCTCTGAATGAGTCAGTGTTATTTTAACAAATCGATTGAATAAAGGATTCAGTGACTCACTCATAAAGAATGCTTCCCTTATCTGTTTCATTCCTGAATTAATCAGTGGTGATGAACAAATCGGTTGAGTGATTCAATGACTACGTTTACATGCGCACAAATAATACGATTATTTCTAATAATCAGAGTAAGGATTTAATCACATTATGATGTTTACAAGTCAAGAGCAAAGCTTCACTTCTGTTTACATGCAATTTCCATTATTCGCATTATTTGTTATTAATCGTGGTTATTTTTTACCGCCACCTATGTTAAAGGTGCACCAAGCAATCTTTGAAAAACGCTTTTGACCGCAGTGTCGGACCATGTCCCAAAACACACTTGCAGCCAATCAGCAGTAAGGGGCGTGTCTTGTAGTGATAGAGAGAAGAGAGCACTCAATTTGAGTACCGTTGATTTTGCATTGTTTCAAACAACTTATCTGTGTTAGCTTTTGTTTGAATATGCTCGTGTCATCTTCACTTGTTTCTGCGGTCGTCGTTATGCCAGAGTTGTGTACGTACAATATCAAAATAGGGGTGAGGTCCTGTTGGGCTATGGGCTTGTTTGTTTTGGTGCTTTCAAATATCAACATTGTTTGGCAAAAAAATCGCTTAGTGCACCTTTAATATGATCATGCTTGCTGTGATTATGAGCTTAATCGCATTATTTAGATCGAAGTATTGCGTTGACATGAGGTAAAGTTTAATCGCGATATTGCCAAAACGTCATTATAATCTCATTATGAGGGTAAACACACTGAATTAATTGCTTTTTTCCCTGAACGAATCAGCGTTTTGAAAAAATCGTTTCAGTGGTTCAATGACTCGCTTATTTCTGAAAGAATCAGTGTTTTTGAACGAATCAGTTGAACGAATGATTCAGGGTTACTCATAACCACTCATACTCAGAATTCAGAACTACATACTAGCATGCTACTCTTACTATTTTTACTTTTTTGTGGCAGAAATAGTAAGAAATAGTTTGCTTGAATGAATGTTCAGAAACAGTCAACTTGTTTTATTTCTGAATGAAGCAGTGGTTCAGTGAATTAATGACTTGTTTACTCCTGATTGAATCAGGGTATTGAATTAATCGGTTTAGTGATTATTATAGTGATTATCGATTTAGTGAGTCATTATAATACAGTTATTTGTTATCATCTACTAGCTTAACAATATATATTGCAGAAAGAGTGCCTGAAATCCAACTATACAGACAAAGAGAATTGATTCAGTTCCAAGTGCTGCGCTAAATATCAGAGCTCTTGAATCGTTGCTCAGCCAATCAGATTTGAGGACCAGACCTAACCTAAATGATCAAAAACACAAAATGACACAAAATGATCAGACTCTACTGATAGATTACTTGTCACTAGAAGCTTTTCGAGTCACACCCAGTTAGAACACAGTGTATAAGATCATCAGCAGGACCAAACAGTGCAGCCAAGGGGAGTCAGTGATTACTATTTTATCACAAACACTTATCCTGATTGGAGGCAGTTCCAAGCACTTTAAAGTTAAAGTTTCCCTTTTGTAATTAGAGGCTAATAATTGAAATATAAAATGAGCTCTCCAAATCAAATCAAGCTGAAAGTGAAACACTTTGCTTGTGATCCAAAACGAGCCCATGGTTACCCAATCAAACAAAGTAGCTTGTAAAGCAGCTTAATTCATTTTAATAGAGCAGGCTGTAAATGAAACAGCTAACAGCTGGTCAGAAGGAAGCTTGGCTTACCTTGCCGGACATCCCTGGGTGCTATAGCGATGCCATTCTTTGAATGCAGCTGTGTGACACAACAGTCGTCGGGTGGCGATTGCAACACACTCGCGCTGGGGTCTAAAGAGTGGTTATGGGGAGCAGTGGGCAGTAGGGAGACCGGAGGGGCCGTGTTGGGACAAACGCATCCCGTCTGGGTGATACTGCAGCTCTCGGTTTCCCAGCCTGAGCCGATGTGCAAGCACTCCTCAAACCATCGGCACAGGACTCCACACGTAAACTGACTCGAATTCTCATTATTAATGAGCAGAACCTCTACGAGCCGGAAGTCCAGAGTTTCCGCCGACAAGGGGGCTTGGCCCTCGGATGTCCCATCTCCGTTGTCGCCGTCTTTGTTGGGATGAGTGGTCAGGCACAACTGCACAAAGTTCTTATCGAACTGCAGGAAGGTGTGGGGTCCTGGGACCATGCAAAGCTCAACGGCTTCAGGGTCCGAGGGGAAGGTGGGCTGGTCTGGGGGGCCACAGGTCTGGTTTGAGAGGTAGTGGTCCAGGGGCAGCACCAGCGGGGAAAAAGCTAAACACGCGCCGGCATGGCGATTGAAGCGGAAATAGAGCGAGTACTTGGTGGGGTCAGGGTTCTCCACAGTCCAGGAGCATCCAGATGTCAGAGCCGACGGCCTGGGAAAGAGGTCCCTGAGCGAGAAGGAGCCGTATAAGACCCCAGCCACCAGAGAGGAGCAGGGGACAGCCTGACCCAGCGGCTCCACGGCCCCGGCCAGTGCAAAAAGGGATGACAGCACAGACAGCCAGAGATGACCAGCAGTGTTCATCCTATGTCATTTGTCCTGCGGGGGAAGAAAGAAATATAGATGAGTGATCCAAACACCATTTCAGTGAGGTCAAACAACTAATTAATTCATCTGTCAAATATGTCTTTGATTAATCAGATCATATCTTGCTCATTTTTCTTCTTCAAACAATATTTAAATCTATTGCTATACATAACATACAGTTTGAACGCAGCTGAACAGTATAACCAAATAAAGGCATAGACATAGATAGTAGTAGATACTGTTTACACCAAATATAAATAGCAATTAATTGCATCTTGTTTACACCGAGTGCAGATAGAATTAAATGCTATTCGCACAAAGTATAAATAGGCAGAATGTGCTATTTGTGCTAAAATTTAAATATTTGAGCAAAGCCAGGTGGTTTTAGCAGAAATAGCCTTTGGCAACAGAATCTTTTCTTTGCCTTAACATATGTTTTTATTAAAAGTTTTTAATCAAAATAAAATGTCTGCTGGGTTCCGTTTAATTGATAGCCATGCAAGTTTAAAGCTGCAGCCATACAGACTTCCACACACATGCACGTAAACACAGGACCAGAAAGTTCTGTGCTGGATACCAAAGTTCATGTTTCAACTTTTTAAACTTATGAATTTACATAAATAACAACTGAGGGTCAAAGTGTCACAGATTGACCATCTTGTCAAAGAACACAAAGCAAAAATGTGTACTGTATGGTTTGCAGTGTTGTGGTGTCCATATAGTCATTTTGTTGATCAAAAGGAAGACAGCAACTAAAATGCTGTTGTTAGAACAAAAATGCTTGAACTGTAAGCACAAAATAGCAAGACACAAGATGTGTCCATATATATAAAAACAAAACATCTCAAATGCATTTAGCATAACAAGCACTCATCAAAAACATGACCACACCTGCATATACAATCATACACTACACATATGAAATTATTCATTTTCTACATCACTGATGATGATTCTCCAAGCACAGCATAAACACATGCCAAATCCATAATAAAATCGATTGCTAATCATTTTCATTAATTATTACCAATTAGTCATCACAGCCCTACATACCAGGTTTATTAGTTAACTAAAACAGAAACGAAAATGATATCCATAAAAGAAAAAAAAATGCTTTAAATAATTGTTAACTGAAACAAACTGACAAGATTCTCATTAACATTCTTCATATACTAAAATAAATAAAACTGAAATGAAAAAAATAATAACAAAAACTATAAAAAATTACTAAAACAAAATTACTAAAACTTTAACAAAATGTTTAAAATGAAAACAGAAAATACGAAAATAAAAACTATAGTGCCTCAATCATACTAAAATAACACTGCTAAATTTGATAATTTTATTTGTGTAAAACTCTGTTGGTAAAACAAAAGAGAAGGGGAGTTCTGAAGGAGAGATTGCAAGAAGGGCAACACAATGTTATTTGAAAATTAGATTCATTAACAGATTTACATCACTAATCCTCTTTAATCTATTCTGCGGAGACACTGCAGAGTGTCAAAAACAAACAGCCAGAGAGAACGAGAATGACAACAGAAAACCCAAGACAGGAGAAAACAGAGCGAGATGGAGAGGAACGGTCGTGTCACATATCGGGCCATTTAAGCTCTCTGACAGCATTAATGAAGCAGAAAGTTTTCCTGTAAATCAGCCCCTTCGGTCTTGATTGCCGCCTGCCAGAGCTCCTCACGCCAGCCTTTTTCCACAGATGCGTTTGCGAGCCCCAATTCAGCCTCTCCTGAGCCGCCGCTCACTTTTCATTCAGTCAGCCCGCCCCTCTGGCACCGGTCCCTTTGTCTTAATTACATGTGGTTAGTGGGTCACATTACTGGCATACAGTTGGCTGCAGTGGGACGTCCTTCATTTGGAGGGCCTTTGGGTTTCCGTACACTCCCACCTGGATCAATAGGTGGAAAGTAAACTCTCTGACTTTCCTCCTCGTTTTTGCCTCTTTGTCATTCTGTCTCACCCTTCCTCTCCTCCTTCCCACTTTCACTCAGAGCAGACTTGTAAATCATTTCAGGGCTGCGTGTTCTCTCTGTGAAGGTCGCAATCCTATTCACAAAGACACAAAATGGACACGCATACTGTTCTCCGATGTCTGAAAATCCCTGACGGATGTGCTGAGAAGACTGATGACTCTTCTGTGAAGGGTTTAGCCCTTCAACTAATCTCCCCCACTCTCACGCACACATGCATCCTTTAGTTTCCCACTGTGACACATTTATAGGTCTTTGAGTTTTTTATTAATAGGATGTGGCACATGACATGACAATCAAATTTTTTTGTCCTATCTATTAATGTATTAAAAAAATACATTAAAATGCAATTCAGAGATACAATGACTTGAACACAACACTTCTGTGATAAGAACGTCTTTAATTTCTGAATTACAATTAATTTAGGTAGTTTATTGGAGCATAAATTCAAGCACGAGGAAGGTCGATTGATAGAAATTTTGCTAATAAAAATAGTTCAATGATTTAAGTTTGTGTGGTGTGTGGCATTATATTTTCTATTTGGCCATGATGTCAAAAATATCAAGGTGATACAACTGTCTTGATATTGCAATAAGGGGGGGGGAAACTCAAAGAAAAAACAGAATTAATGTGTTTAAAGTCATTATCCCACCTTTAATAGAACTGTCATCTTGATTTAAAAATAAAATAAAATAATAAAATAAAATACAAATGTAAAATTATGTCTATTTCTTTTATTATAAATGTCTTAATTATTTTTGAGATATTCTTTCTGATAGTCTTATACCAATTTGGTTTATAATGAAGTTAAACAACTTTGTAGTAATAATGTAGTAATGTTTATGTGTATGAAAGCCCACAATATGTTTTTCCTCTGTTATAATCCTTTGTAAATGGTATATATTGACTTTTTTTTTTTTCAACTTGTTCATTATGACTAATGTTTCAAAAAACAAAAAAAACTAAACTGTTTGACAATCTTTTATTTCTTTGACAAAAATATATAAATAAAGCTATTGCTTACTCATATTTAAGAAATACCAAATCAAAGTCATGTGCAAATAAAGAAAATAAATAAATAAATAATTAAATAAATATTTTGATATATATATATATATATATATATATATGTGTGTGTATGTGTGTGTGTGTGTGTGTGTGTGTGTATATATATATATATATATATAT